GTATGTAAAAGTATGTGTTTGCTATTTGCAATATTTATAATAATAAATTTCAATGGAGAGATTAAGAGATTGCTGAGTAAAACCTGTTCACAGGGTGGAATAGTCCCCCGTTGCTTCTTGCTTTCATGTGGAGGTTATTTCAGGTTGATCCTGCAAAGCGCTTCCTGGCCCGCGCCCCTCTGGCAGGCGTCTGTGGAGGGGTAAGCCGCTAATGGGATCAGTGCCTCCCCGCAGCACGTGGCTGCCTCGCGTGCTCATTCCTCCACCCCCCACCCACCNNNNCGCCGCAGCCATTTACCACCATCACCCCCCCCCCACTAACGTATAGTTTGTTCTCTAACACATTTTGAAGGTGGAGTTCTACCGTTTATGCACAGGATTCAAATGGTCATCTATTATAAGGTCGTTTAACAAATACGTACACAAAAATCATTTTTTGTCGAATTAGCCAGTAGTGGTGGTGTAATAAATGATTGAACAGTGTGTGCAGAAAAAAATGTTAAGTGAGTAAAATCATAAATGCAATCGTAATCGTAAGATAAAAACATGTACATTTGTCAGTAAATATTTATTTTTAGATCACTTTTTGACTATTCTACCAAAACAATTTCAATTGAGGCTCTTGTTTTTGTAGTGTATCTCCACTTACAAGTTTCTCACATCCCCACCTTCTCTCTTTTCTCTTCTCAATCCACCTGCCTCCCCTAGTCTTCTTAGATCACAAGGGCTGCGCATGGAGAAAATGTAATCAGTATTTTAAGAACAAATACTTAACGTTTAGGAATATATTTTGAAGAAAATATTGTATCAATGTGTTTAAAGTAATTGCTTTCAACGACGGAATAAATTTCGAACAAAAGACTTATTCAGATTTTATTTGCATATTTCAAATATTATTGTCATTATAACTATTAAGTATCAAATCCGAAAAGATACATAAAATATACGCATTTAAAAACGTTTTATTTAACAACAATTTACTAGTGTCACCGGACAAACTGTGTGAAGAACATTCAAGAATACAATTAATGAAATTCTCAAGTAAAATTTCAAATTACCAAACTTTGCAATATTTGTGTTCCGTAAAAGTCTTGTAATTTAGTTAATTAAAAATGCAGTACAATCAATATTTTAATTTTCAATATATTTTTGTACATTGTATGTTAGAAATAGTCTTTAGTCCAAAAACTGGAGGGTTCTGAGCGTATTGTTTTATTTCTGCGACCTTTTTCGGGTTAAGCAATATGGTGACTGCAGTTATTTATTGATTGAATAATTTATTGTCTCGTTAACCTAAAGCCATTTTTCTTACCATTTAACATAAAAGTCAATCATGATATAAATCCTCAACATAAAACAACATTTGTTGTCTACAAATCGATATGAAACTGCATAGAAAATTCGAAATGAATGATTTAATATGTTAAAATCATTACGTAGATAATTTGAATTCGTACATATTGGGAGCCCAGTGTGAGAGGGAATTGATATACAGAAGGAAGAAAATGCTAATAAGAATCATCGGAATTGTCGTACCACGTATCATTCCTCTCCGAAGAATCTGGCCAGAGTGGACAGTGGGCGGTATCGACTCCGTGGCGCAACGGTAGCGCGTCTGACTCCAGATCAGAAGGTTGCGTGTTCGAATCACGTCGGGGTCACGGATTTTTGTGACATGGAATATGACGTACCAGCAGCATTTGAACCAGCTTGATCAAAATTAACGGCATTTGGAGGAGCAAAGGAATAATCCTCATCTTGAATTGAATTTTTTTCTTGAACTCTTACCTTTTCATGAACTTTATGATATTGATAGTTTGTGTTTTTGCTGTAGTCGTTGAACGCATATCAACGATTTTGAATAACATATTCCTATTCCATATGCACGTGATCAATATATAACGATTTGCATTTCCAATTGTTTCTGAAGAGTTTTGCGAAATCGAGTGGTGAAACTAAATCCGTGAAGCATCATTCTGTGAATGCAAATATTGCTGGTAAAATGAGATTTTAAAATTATTACAGAATCTTTTCATACCGTTGATGAGCGAGGATTTCAAATTCAGCAGCATATATTTCACTAATTTTTTTTTTAAATATGGATTTCATTATTTCTATCACGATATTTCTCTCAGAAGTATAAACGAAGCGTTCTGTAATACTTTATCAAGGAAACGAGTAGGATAATGTCCGGCAAGTATGGATCCTGTCCCTAAATCATAACGTCATATTCTCAGTTAACGATAGTTCGAGGGGATGAGAGAACGAATGACCAATAATGGTCAGTACATTGACGGTTAAGTGGCGATGAGGCGCAGTGCCGTGGCAGTTACCCGGGCCACAGGGGGGCAGGCGCAGCCCTCGGGAAGACAAACGGCCGGGGCCTAATCGCCGACGCAGAGGGGACTATCACGGCCCTAAAGCTGCCGCCGCTGCCACCCTTTCCACCACCCCCGGCGGCTGGCGCTAGCGGGAGACAGTGCTTGCACAACTGACATCGGAAATGAAAATAAAGACGTGGCGGTGGAGGCGGAAGTAGGACTGGAGAAAGATGGAGGAAAGGAGTCAGGACCAGGATGGGTCTTCAGGAGAAAAAGAGAGAGAGAGAGGGAGAGTAGAGGGAATAAGGGAAAACGTGTGAGAGTGATCTTTGTAAGAAAAATGGGCAAGGAGGGTCTCGGATGGAGAAAAGCAGAAAACGAAAGAGAATGATTGTAGAGGTGCAGGGTTGCCGAAATAAGGTGAGAAGGGGAAGGGTGTAGTGATGTGAGGAGGAGGTGAAGGCGCTGAATGAAGCGGGGCGCAAGAACGGGAAGAGAAGAGATGAGAGGAGAGCGAGTTGATTGGGGGAAGGTGAAAATTATGAACTATAGGGGGTGGCTCGGTGGCGGTGGCGGGTCGATGGAATTGGTATGGCGGGGGTGTCGGCAGTTTCAGGCAGCAGTTGAGGTGGGAATAAAATGAGGTGCAGGAGGTGAGACCGACCAGCGAGTTGAGGTGGTGCGAAGCAGGTGGATGTTGTGAGTGAGGGCCTGTGGACGGCGGCTGGATAATGACAAGTGCAAGATGGCTGAATGCGGGGAGAGATGTTGTTGGGAGAAGAAGGGGTGACGTAAGGGAAGGGCGGAGAGGGAAAGGGAGGGTAGGGGAAGACGAAGAAAGGGGTGGGGAATAAGGAGGAAAGTTGCAGGGATGGGGGAGGCGGGAGCGCTGGGCGGAGCAAGTCAGCTACGGCTGGCGGATGACGGGGGAGGGACATGAAGAAGATGAAAGGAGTTGGGAGAGATGAAGGGGAAGGGGAGGGAGGGAGTTGGCATGGTGAAAATCAAGTGCAGGGTTGTGGGGCGGTGGGTGTGGTCGCTTCGGGGAGGGGGGAGCGAGGAGTGAAGAGGAAGAGAGGGGTAGTGAGGAGCGCACCAGATGCCGGTTGTAAGTGGGGCGGGGCTAGTAGGAATGGAGAGAGGCAGGGTGGGGCGGGGACAGGGACGAGAGCAAGGTTGGAGCAGGTGGCCAGGTTGGACCGGAATCGGCCGTGGCCGCTTTACGCCGCCCTAAACGCTTTCCGAGCCGCGAGCGCCGGCGCCTGAGGGGACGCGCCTCTGACGTCAGTCGTGACGTCGCCCGCGCGCGGTGACGTCAGGGGTGACGTGGGCGCCCGATTGATCGGCGCCTCCAAGCCGCGCTGAGGCCGGCGCACACTGGACCCAGGGGATGCACGGAGGGGCCAAAGAATTTCCTGCACGCGGCTCACTCAGGAAATTTCGCTTTTATTTTGGAATTGGTGGTAAAGCGTTCAACTCAGAATTCAACTTTATATACCATTAGAGTAGTGAATGATTACAGAAAAATAAAATGGCTGTTACTCAGAGACAAAATTGAATCAATATTTCGTTTGGAAATTTCATTCAAAATTTGTCATTATAATGAATTAAAGTCGATATATTACTTTTAATGTCTCTTAAATCCACCTTCCTCCATCAGTATACAAATATCCATGCAATAAACTTAAAAGAAAACAATTAAATCTTAATGACTTTTATTGAAAATATATTCACATGTCAGTATTGAAACGTAGTACTAACTTGTGTTTATATTTTTATATTTCACGAAATTTAATAACATTTCCTAGATAACAGTTTCTCTCTTTACAGGAGTGGCCAGTAAAATCATTAAACATATATCTAATTTGAAAATGATGTGGAAGAATAAATACATTATCTTCCATTATACATGTTTATGTTTCACGGTGTGTGATCCTGCCTGTCGCTAGTAAAATATTAATTCAATTATGCTAATTTAAGAAAATAGAAGAGTGCTAGAATAGAGTTGTACTTATAATAGTGACGAAAGAAAATTATTGAAAAGATTTGTGAATAGCTGGGAAGGAAATACGAAGAAAGTGATACATTTTGTATTAGATACACGAAGTTACTCCTTGAAGAGACGTTCTTTCCACCAGTTTCTGATTCATTGACGCATGTAAAGAACATACAATCACAAAGATATTTCAGCTCCTTCCGATTTGACGCGATTAGTCGAAAAATATAAATGTGAATGTATATTTGAATGAATATACATTATAGATTACTTAAAAATCAACATTAAGATAACATTAATTCAACATTATAAGTACTTAAAATTCCACATTTTTCCAACTTTTTCAGTTACTGTCACGTTGTTTTTAGATTCACCAAGTGAAGAGTTTACGTGTTTGTAAGCTTTGCGTTGTTGTCAAGCAAATTTCTATCTCTCGACAATGAAATCACTCAGAAAGCTATTACGTCAGAAAGCGGGTGTAAAGTCCGATTTGCATAGGAATATTCAACTTCTGGCTCATGTTTCAGAGGAAGACAAACACGAGAGAGAGAGAGAGAGAGAGAGAGAGAGAGAGAGAGAGAGAGAGAGAGAGAGAGAAAGAGAGAGAGAGAGAGAGAGTGTAAGAGTGAGTGAGTGTAAAATAGTGATTGAGAGGTACTGAGAATAAAGGAGTTGATCTAAAAATGAGAGCAAAAGAGCGAGTACGACGGGCAAAAAAATACCGACATCGAGTTGCAGAGAGTGGTAGAGAACGGCAGAGAGCTACAAAGATTGAGGAGAGAGCAAGGATGTGCAAGCGATCCTACTTGGTGAAATCCGCCTGCTTTGGGGGAGTTCGTGAGGGCACTGGACGTTTGCACGTACGGTAAGATAAAGTTGTCTGCATCAGTGTGCCACTCCACGCCTCGATGCTGCATACGCGCCCCTGGTGGCCATTTGCGGAAGCATAACATGGAATAACAATACCCTGCCCTCCTTTGGATACAACGCTGCAATGTTGCAAGTAATTGTTTTTAGAAAATTGCACGAAAATATTATATTCAGAATCATATTATTTTATTTTTTCTGAGCCTTTTATGATAGATTTAACTTCAGATCTTCCACATTCAGAAATCTTACGAAGTTCTTTAGGTCAACACAACAAACTGTATCCAGCATACAAAAGAGTGTATCAATATATTTCGGACGTCTAGCTCTATCTCGGAAATTCTTGTAAAAAATAAAGAATAACAGCGGCTGCGAGGAAAGAAACAGGCGGCAGTTGCGGATGCGGCAGAGGGTGCGTGGGCGAAGAGAAGACGGCGCGGGGCGGGGAGGGGCGGACGGAGGATGAGAAGGGGAGTGGCGGGGCGGGTGGAGTGGAGATGGGGGCAGGGCGGGCAGAGCGATGAGGGAAGTATGGTGGAAGGAAGAGAGGAGAGGAGGGGAGAGGGGTGGGGCGGGGCTCGCGGTTTCCCTCACATAGCCGGCGCAGACTTTGGAGTTTGTCCAGGAGGAAGATTTTACGATTCTTTATCGCGGACGGCAAGGCAGGCGGCGTCGGGGTGCTGTGGGGAGAGCCTTCTTTTGTGGCGGCGTCGGAACGGCGTTTGACGTCCGCCTACGCGTCGCGTCCGATCGCAGGCCCCGGAACTTGACCTTGGGGCTCGCCTCTAACGCACTGGATGAGCAGACGGACGCAGGTTGCCGTTAATATTTTGGCTAGTATTTTCAAAACTGGTAATCGGTCGAAGACAGTTCCGCTATTCGATGTGTTATACAATTTATGTATTCTATGTGTTGTTATTGTACTGTTTCATCACATAATCATTACTGATATTTACGATTTCGACTATAATACAGACAACATAGTAACTATAATTGAAAATTATTTCCAAGGTATAAAGTTAATACTATTTTGTGAGTATCACATTGTGATTACTAATGACCATAATTTTTTGACCCTTTTGGTACAAAAATAAAAATGTACAGAATCATTCATTTCGGCGATTATTTGCTCTCATGTACATTTGAATAGTTTCATATCTGTCTTATAAATATGGTAAAATAGAGAAAGAGAGTAAGTGTAAAAAGAAAGTGTAAAGAGAAAGTGTTGCGCGGGAAGTAAATAAATCTGCTCCAACCTGCTACCAACGAACAGCAAAGATTCAGAGCCAGAGATCGCTACTGGTTCTGTTCGGAACCACATTGGCATTCAATTTATGAAGTGTGTGAATAGTAGTTCATGGAGAATTCCATTTTTACATCCAGTTGGATTTTCAGTTAAAGAAAAAACTTTGTTATAAATTGGAGTGTGAATATGTACTACTCCATGAATCATACTGCTTCCTAGCGGCAATCAGTGCAGTGAATTCCAGCTTTGGTTTGCACCATACCATAAAGTGTCTCTAGGACTTTGAAATAAATGAATTTCCAAGAAGTAAACTAAGGTAGTGGAAATTATCATTGCCTTAATTTTTCGTGATGTGACATGCAGTATATTTAGGCAAAATATTTTATGAAAGAACGGAAACAAGATATAAACTATGTAGAGTGCGACAAAGGCCGCGAACAAGCAGAAAAACCCTCTTTATCCTAAGCATGTCTGACTGATGTCGGGCCGCGATCTTTTATGGTAAAAAGCGTTTAAGGACCGCACTCGGCGAGAGTATGAGATAGACAGCTAGCCAGGCAGACAAGTGCTCCCCAGATCATGTTCTGTGGTTGGGATACATATCAAACTTAAAGTATCTGACGAAACAGTTGGAGACCTGATGTTTCTACTGTGTAGTTAGTGACAAAAGCCGAGAATGGACAAAATGAAAACTTTTTCACTTTAAGCGTATTGTAATTGTACCGCGATCTTTTGTGGACGAAAACGCTTAAGGACAGATCAGGTACAATTAGCGAGAGGTGGGGATAGCTACTCAAGGAGACAATGGGTGATCACTAGAATATTTTAGTCAAGCGGATTTTAACGAAATATCGTTTTTACTTTCCCGTGTCCGTACACACACAAATATATATATATATATATATATATATATATATATATATATATATATATATACGGAGTAATATAGTAGTATAGGGTAAGTTATGTAATGCTGCGGAAAATCGATTTCGAGATATGAACAGAAATACATATTTAAGGGTCGCCTAATACCGAAAAAGTATTTTTTTCCCAAACGTCCCTCCATTCGTCTGTCTGTCTGCCTGTTCGTCCGTCCGTCGTTCCGTCCGTATGTCTGCTGTATGTGAACAACGCTAGCTCTTAAACCATGGTCATTTTCAAACTTTTCTCAAAACTGGCTTCAATTTTTTACTTTAAATTTCTTATAAGAATAGAGTAAAATGCACTTATAAATGTGAGGTAGGTCCAATTTTCACGTTTAACTCTGAATTTTCAAAAAAATTGCTGTTTCAAGGACCCATAAAACAGGGATCAGGGTCAATAATATTTAAATTCAGAGCAATTTGCTCACTTAATTGAATTTGTGAGTGCATGTTGTTTAAATAATGTCAGATAGCTTCTCGGAAACTCAACCGTTTTCTCCCAAAACTAGCTCAATATTTCACAATTTCAGAAACGCTCAAACGTCATTTTCTCAAAAGCAATTCCAATTTTTTTCTTCCAACTTTTCGAACAGGTAGTCCTAATTAAACTCTTTAATATGACGTAAAATTCATTTCGGGACACCTTTTTGATTTAAAAAAACTCAAATGTATTTTTTAATATCTCTCACACCGTATTATGCACATTTCCAGGAACTTTTAAATACTATTGTATTAATGTACTTCAAATGACGTCTAATGAATTTTTTCGAACACTCAAAACTTTTATGTGAAAAATACTTCAAACTTCGAAAATACTGTAGCTCTTAAGCACCATTTCCTTAAATACGGCTCAACATTTTTCAATGTAAATTGCCATTTAGGACGCGGTTTTACTGTTCTTTAATATCCTTGAAATAATATTTCCGTTCTGTTATTAGTAAACTGAAAAATTAAGGAAATTTCAAAAAAATGTATTTTGGGCGGCGATGGATGTCAGAAAGAAGAGTATGTGGTAAGTTTGAATAGCTAGCCGCGACCAAATTATATATAAATTTACGGGAAAGTCTGTGCTATTCTGTAGCACCACTTGTTTTCTTTTCACTTTAGAACAATGCCCTTTAGTATAGAAATTGATTTAATGTTATGACAAAGGAATTGACGCATTTTTATACGACTTTTTGGATTTTTCGTCGATTTCGACTAAAAAGTCATTTTTTAAATTTTTCCAGTGATTTTCTGTCATTTAAGTTTTTCAATTATTTAACTTATTTTTATATAATTCTCATGGTTATTGCATGAAATAATATTTACGAGTACTGTGGAGAATATTTGTTGCAAGAAATGTTTTTTACAGAATCCCAGTGTATCTACTTCAATTTCTTCGCTAAGTAATTGTAATGTCAGCCTTTGTATGTAATATAATGTTCTCGTCACGCCTATCAGCGCCTATTGTTGTTTTGACAGATTTTGGGATAACTAAAGACGGAGATTTTCTGGTAAAGAAGAGTCTAAAGCAAAAGGTTTCCAACTGAGTGCACTTGAAAAAATGGAAGAAGCCTAGTGCACATTAGTAACGAATCCAGCTTAAGATGTTCATCTGAAGTAGTTTCGATCACATTTTAATCTTAGTTTTCTTATTTTTCCCTACTCTTCGGGTATTTTAAAAACATTTTAAGAGCATTTTATTGATAATTTTTGACAATATTTAGGTCTTCAAAATCAAGCCCCTGATGATCACATACCAACACGATGAAATACCGGGAGAGATGGATCAGGGCATCTACTGATATCAGTCCCTCTGTTCGGGAGGTTCTAGGTTCGACCTAGCTTGTACGCTAGGTCGAATACAGTCGCTGCCTGGAGGAGAATTCTAGCAGCCGGCTGCTTTGATCGGTAGTTTTCCGTAGTTTCTCCGATTAGTTTTGTATTTTTTTTGTCTGCGACTTTGTCGATATGTAATTTACTTAATTAATGAGATAAAGATGTTCTAAGTTCTCTTCCGGGCTGATAAAGATGGTTTAGGAGATTTTTCTGTCGATATAGTTATGAAACACCTTAAAGTTTTGGGGCAAAAAGTGATCCAGAGCTAATCAATAAATTGTTCGAAAATATTTTCGAACAAATTTTATTGCGGTATACCCATTCAATCAAGAAACTTATCGACGCGTCCCCCAAACATGTATGTAAAATGGAATATCAGAATTATTGATGCCACACAAATTGTTTTTCGAACATGATTAAGCACTACTGCTTGATAATTACAAGATATAGTGGCAATTCCAAGCTGTTCAATACAATAAATAGACATAAGCATACAAAATATATAAAAGCACCTTAAAAAGTCAAATTAAAACGTAAAATGATGAAATAAAAAAGTCGTAAAAGTTTTACGTGTGACAAATGAAAAAGATGCATTGTATTTCAGATATTGCCTAATTTCATTGCAATTTAAAGAAGTAAAAGGAAAAGACTAAACACTAAAGCAATATGCATCAGTACAATAAACACCAATCTTTATATCCTAAAAAGTCAAAAATAAAAGTTCAGCAAATTGCGTCGAGTTGGAAATCAGTTCCACGTTACTGAAATGTCAAACCTCTCGACTCAAAAGTAAACGAGAATATTGAGTCAAGCAGTGAGAAGCGCTTCTTGAGAATCGCGGAAAGAGATTCGGGGGAGATTTCAAGGCGAAATAAGCAATCACTTAGCGTCGGCCTGGAGGCGTCCCAGGCGACGGGAAGAAACAGCTATGCTGATGCAATATGCGGAGTTCATTACCGGCTAATCCGCGCCGTCTAATCTCGCAGCCACCTGCGGCCCCGGGCGACG